CTCTTATAATTTGATGTTTAAATCTAATACATAATATAATAATTAATAATAATAATATATAATAAATGAAATAATAATAATAATAATATAATAATAATAATAAATAATATAAATATATCATAACGTCGGCCCCATGCGCAACGATTGCCGGCACCGTCTCGTCGGTGGATCCAAGACCTAGACCAGACATGTTTTTAATCTTGTTGAACTTGTCGCTATCACCCCTCATCACCAATTCTAACACCTCATAATTTCATTACTCAAGGCTTGACAACCTTCGTACTGAGGACGTACGAAATGAAGCCGTCGCTGGTGCCGATAACAACGGAAGGGAAAATGCGAAGACCAATCCACCACCGAGCGTCTCAGTTCTCCCTTCTGCCAGCCGCAGCGGTTGCCAGCGGCTCCCCTGCTAGGGCCGCCGTTTCAGTTGCTGCTATCCACCACCGCCAGCACAACATTCTTCATCCACGACCCCAAATTATGGGTCCATTCATCTCCTACAAGTATAGTATCGTGAACAAGGAGACATGTTAACCTTACGTCATCTCAATAACGCATCAATTGACCACCCAGTAGAGATCATTATCTTTCTCTCCACGCCACATTACCGCCCTTTTCTCCCCTTTCCACTATCGAATGTCATGAGGTGAGGAGCTGAATTGTCAAATGTAGCTGACTGCTATATTATCCATCATTCTCTAAACCAAATCCAAATGTAATATGTCATTGATAAAAATTTAATACTATTACTTACCAGAACCTATTCACATGTATATGGCGAAAATAATGAGTTATTGACAATGGCAAATCCGCCATAGAAAAACAACCCACAAAGCAAAAAAAAAACATATGACAACAACAAAAAAATAAACACAAACAAAACTCCCTAAATACTAAAAGAAAAGAAATAAATCTCACTTCTGAACACCATCCCATACGGCTGACCAAAACATATGAAGTCAAATCCATAACACTAACAACTTCATAGAGAAAACCTATTATATCCAACATAATACTTCCTCTAAATACTATGATCAGAGCAATTCTGTAGCCATATTCCCACACCGCTCTACATAACCAATATACACACTATCATAAACTCAAAACACCAAACACACACCTCATAAAAGCTATCAAATTTTGACTCTCATTTTTCCAACTCCAAATTATATCAACTCTACATTTGACTTCTTATGACTCCGAAATAAAATTCTGCGAGTCTAAATGACGAGACCTACCAATTACTCAATACCTAATCGCTCATCAACGCCCTATACCAACCCACAACCTAACCTCTTAAGTTTACAAGATCGAGCAATATACCGATAATCTTTCAGTACCAACACGTTTCCTTCAACCAATTACTCACCTCTTAACAGAAAGCCAATTCCATTTTTAATAAAAAACTGACCAAACATGTCCGAATCCACACTTTATTGTTTTCTACCGTCATAGCAACACATGTCCTCACGAATAGCTCCAATTTAATTACTGGGATAAAACACCTCACAACCGCCTAAGTCATTCACCTTTCATAACTCTACCATCTAGCACTTCATCTTCACGATTCCAACCCACCCTACCCCCACGTGCTTCCGCACTCGCCACCATTCATCACTTCCAGACCACGCGCTTCCTGACGGCTGCTTGCGCCTTCCAGGATGGCTGACCCAAACAGCCAGCCTCCGCTACACTGTCAACCAACACACGTCCCACCCCCCCCCAAGTATCCGTGTGCACCCACCCGCCTCCCGTCCCCGCTCCCCTGCCCATCACACCCACGGCCCAACCTGCTGCTAGTCATCGCGCAGCCCCTCGTACAAATCTCTTTCGATAAGAAGCTTGCACGTCCCTTCACCCGCCTCATTCCCTATTTATTGCGGCAGCCGTCGTCTGTGGATCGAGACCTGCCTAGACATGGTTGAATTTGTGACTGTCGCTTCACCCCTCATCACAATTCTAACACCTCATAATTCATACTTCAAGGCGTGACAACCTTGTCGTACTGAGGGACGTACGAAATGAAGCCATCGGCTGGGTGCCGATACAACGGAAGGGAAAATGGCGGAACAATCCACACGAGGCCGTCAGTCTCCCTTCTCCCCGCCCGCAGCGGTCGCGCGCGGCTCCGCTGGCTGAGGTGCGGCGTAGTTGCTGCTACCTTCCACCGCCGCCCAGCGACAACATTCTTTCCTCCGACGACCCGTTATTGGTGTCCATCTCATTCTCCGTTACAAATATAGTTGCTGTGTACACCAAGGGAGACATGGGTTACCTGCGTCATCTCAATAACGCATCAATTGAGCCACCTCAGTGATCATTATCTTTCTGCGTCCACGCACATTACGCTTTTCTCCCCTTTCCACTATCGAATTCATATTTTAGGACTTTAGATTTCAAATTACTACTGCCCTATTTTTCCATCATTTGCTCTAAACCCTTTTATACAATATCAATGGTTAATTGTCAGTTGGATAAAATTTAATACTTCTTCCCGGACCTTTCACGTATGTTATGGACGAGAAATATGAGTTTTGAAAGCCATGCATTTCCCAACATGTCGCTAGAACATCAATACTTTGCATTGTGCATTCCACGCTATAACATATTCTCCCCTTATAAACAACAGCCAAACACACCTCATAAAAGCTATCAAATTTGTGAACTTCATTATTTCCATCAATATATCCTCTACATTGACTTTGTGATGCAGACTCCGAAATAAATTCTGCGGTCTAATGGACGAGACCTACCCATTACTTCAATACCTAATCTCTTGCCATTCACCCTATCACCCACTACCTACACCTCTTAGAGTTACAGGATCGCATATGAACGAGTGATCTTTCAGTACCAACTACGTTTGCCTTCACAACTTCTCACCTCTTAACAGAAAGCCAATTCCATTTTATAAAAACTTTGACGAACATGTCCGAATCCACACTTTGTTGTTTCTACCGTCATGCACACTGCTCCTGAGAGTGCTCCATTTAATTGGGATAAACCCTCACAACCGCTAAGGGTCATTCCTTTCATTACTCTACCATCTGCCATTTGCATCTGTCAGCGGATTCCACCACCCTCCCCCCACGTTGCTTCCGCAGCTCCCACCTTCATCACTTCCAGCAGCGCTTCTGCGGCTGCTTGCGCTTCCAGCTGCTCCAACAGCCGCGATCCGCGTCACTGTCACCACAGCCGTCCCACGCCCGCCCCAGCCGGCCCCACCGCTCCGTCCCCGCCGCCCCTGCCCCCGCCGCCGCGCCAACCGGCGTGCTGCTACGCATCGCCGCGCGCCTCGTACATCTGTGATTAGAGCTCGCGGCCACTTCGCCGCCTCTCCCCTCATTTATTCCGGCCCATGTGCGCGCCGCCGGGCGGAAACACCCCGCTTCGACGTGCGACGCTCGGCGCCATTCGGCCTCATACGAGACGCCACTTTTTGCGGATAATTTAAAACGCCACATGGTTATTGCGCATCGTTACACACCGAGCGTATGCAAAATAAATAGCGTTCGCTGTCTTCTTTCATTCTGTTTTCCTTGATGTTAAGGAAACAGACTGTGACAAAAACGAAGCCTGAAGCCTGTTTAACATCAGCGCTCGTTTACCTGAAATATTGATGCGCGTAACGGAATGAGCAGATTTAAGCGCGCATGGCTTTCTGTTCCGTCGGAATGTAAGTGATGCTTCATAAATAGAAACGACATATTTGAAAATTATATTGATGGTTTACTTCTCGAAATTGGGAATAGTTATATTTGATTACGAAAATCAGTTTCTAAATGTCGCATTTGTTCATTAATTTACATTTTGATGCATTTCAAATAAGCAATCCATTTACATATGATTATCATGTTCAAAATTCGTAATATTCGCAGTTTAATTCACACTTTTACGTCACCTTACACAAACCCTAAAACTGAGTCACAGAAAAGTGAGTGATGGAAACGAAGAGATTGGCTACTAGAGAATGGAAAAAGTTGTTTTTCACAGAATCGATCATTGACAAACGGATGATTGAGGAACATATTATTTAGTGCTACTTCCTTCTAGAACAGGGGTGTCCAACGAGCAAAGCCTAAAGGGCCACAACTAACGCCTTTAATACGGTTGCTGGCCGTATTTTCATTACTATGTAACGCAGGATGATTCTGTATATCTGAATTTCCTAGAACAAAAGTATTAAATGTACATATCCTTCTATTTTTACTTAAGGGGTTTTAACCCCGACGAAGCGCGTGCGGTAGGCGCACAATGTTCTCGCTCAACTTGGATGCGAGGGGCTTTCTCTTTTGGCTCATAATCTTTGTCGGGCACAATAATTGGCACCGCGGGCCGCCGGTTGGACAATTCTTTTCCAGAACATTTCCTAGATATTTGAATGCAGTGAAAATGGATCTATCTTACTTTCATTATAATTCTCACAAGGATTGTTCTCGAGGAACCATTCATTAATTGATAAAGTTTCTATTATTGAGACACTGAAAAAAAGTGAGAATGAACTGTTGTGATATATGAATAATAAAAAACAATTCAATGTTTTGTCATTTTTTCAATTCTCTTGGTTGGCAACTGCAAAAATTGATAATTTACATTAGGTCGTTTCCTTTAATATTAGTTAATGTTGCAACAAGTTCTTAGTAATAATTTCACACTCTAATTGATTTTTCATATGCAAAGAAGTCTAGCCGCGAAGTCTGTGCAAAGATACTTCTCAACCGAAGAATAGTGATGAAGTAGAGGTTAACTATTTCATCAGATGAACATTGCTGACAACCATGCACTAGCAATTATGATTAACAAATCAAAGTTTTATAGAGATTTTGACACTCCAAATAACTCAATAAAAAGCAATGGCGCTATGATATTACAATCTATTAACTTCTACTAGACTCATTCCAACAAAGGTCGATTAATCGCGCACCTGCAGCGCTCGTTTCATCGCCGGAAGAGGTGGTGATCTTCCCTGACCAGACGCGAGATCCTGCATCGATCTACACGTCGGCTAGCGGAGTTTCTCCAGCCAAGTATCTCCCACCGGCAGGGCACCGCCCCAGTCGGGAGGCGGTCTAAACTTCTGACTGGTCTGCCGACAAGTTTGGGAGTGTAGAACACGTACGTATGTGTGTAAGCAAAGGTTGAGGAGAGAGCATAGAAGAGGGAGGAAAAAGTGCATGCGGTCCATTACTCTTTTGTAAGATTACTTCCTTGGAACTCGCCTGGTGTTAATGGGAGAGACTATGAAAAACTACCGATCATAGTAGCCGAACGCTAGAATTCTACTCCTCAGCTGCTGAATTCCATCCAGGTAGGTAGGGTCGAAAATTCTTCCACTGTCTGGACGACTCATAACGCTAGTTAACCACAGAAATAAGCACCTAAACCTTCATTGATTCAGCACCAGAGCAGGAACGTCAGATCAGGAAATGAAACTCTATCGAACCTGTAGTAAAAATTAATTAAAGAATCAACCCCCTACACGAACAGTGACGGTGCTTAAAATTCGCAAATAACATTGTCGCTCGCCGAAAGTTGCGTTTTTGTTGCGTCAATGGAAGATGTCACGTCGTCGTGAACAGTTCAAACTCTCCGAAACTGGTACTAGAGGGGACGACATCCTCCCTAGCGTCGCCATTTCTCTCGTTTGTATTAGCATGTACTTGGGGCCTTACATCCTCCATTCTATTCACACAACAGGTCATGTAATCAAACTTTCTTGGATTGCTGGTGAGCCCCAAATACGTTTTCAGAAGCCTTTCAAAAATTTCTGCATCGACGGAAGCGCATTGAAAATCAGAGGTATGAGTAAAAGTTCTAAATTCTAATTGTAAAATTTCTATCCTTGTTGTGTTAATTTACGAAAGTTCCGTGCTGAATATTATAGACTAACCCTCACACTTTCATCTGTTTATGTTCGTTCTTCGTTATCGTCAATATTTCTAATGAAATAACAAATATTTTTGTATGAAAATAAAAGTCGTATTTACGTAATCTTTTCACTTCGTATGATGAAGAATTTTCATATTTTTGCCACCATACATCCGTTGTCTATACCAACGTAATATTTCATTCCAATAACTTAAATATGTTTTACCCCCGACAACACGAAATATTTGGTAACGCAATGAAATGAATTTCAGGGCTATTATGCCCACAAATCCCCAATCAGATCGCTGAATACGGAATCAATTATCCCGACATAGCCCCTCCGCCTTAGCCCCATCCTTCCGGTCAAGGCCAGAGATCGCCTCAGGGCAACAGACGACCTTGAGCGAGCGCCCCCCCCCGCATGTCATTACCTCCTGGGGACGGCGATCGGCGCCATCCTCT